GCTGGGATTGGATGTAAGGGTACAATATATTTTTTTATTTATCTATGAATAACTGCAGTGCGTATATTTACAATATACATTTTGAAACCCATTGAAATATTTTCTAGAGAATTGTTCGAAAAGACTTCCAAAATTTCATAAATTTGCTGTAAAATGACGGTGGGCATGGATAACATAAAGAAGCTCCGTTGGAAGTTGGTCATGATACTATTTGACTTCAATTTTTAAAACAGAAGAATAAAGTACTAATACCACACATAACTTTTTTCCAGGTTTTTATTATAAAAAGTGGTAAATTTAGAAAAGGTTAGTATTGTCGCCTATGGCAGAATAAATACTACCGTTTTCATTGAAATGCCGAGATAATTATTAGATACTTAACGATTTTGCATCATCGCACGAGTTCCTATCAGTATAATACTTCCATGCAGTAGATAAAGAAACAGCGTTCAGCAGTGCGTGAAAACACTATAATTTGATTTATAAATTAGTTCAGAACTAGAAGTATCGTTGCTCAATAAACTAAGTAAATAATAAAACATCTTTCCGATGTACAATTAAATAACGGCTTTTATCATGTAGTTTAAGTTAGATAGCCAAACAGTTACAGTTAGAAAATCAATTAAAAAAATCAATATAAAAAATCAATGAACTAGTTACTAGTAATCCAAAATCGTTAATTCCCCCCCACCCCCTCCCCCCCTTTGCACTTGTTCATTACCCTGTTGACAGAGGCTGCCATGTTGATATACGTTTTTTTCTGAAATTTGTTTATCTATTTACCAAAAGTTTCAGGAAACACCTGTTTTAAATCTATACTTTCGACATAAACCAACAACCCCGGGCAAAGACATTCCATTTTCTTTCTTTTTGCTTGCCTGATTTTACATGCATTGTTGTACTTTCATTGTCCTTTGTTGGTTTTGAAAAACACTTACCTGCAAAAGCCAAACTTTCCACAGGAAAATATTTCTGATTAATGGCATTGCATAGATAATACCTGTGAATTTTACCATACTTTACATGCAGACACTGCACTGCAACTCAACTGGAACACCCATGGTTTGCACTGTGGTCGGAAGCTGTACTCCATTGCTGAATATTTTGTTCCCTCTACTTGTTTGGGAAATTTGCTTGGCTGCTTAAGGTCTCTGAATCGTGTGCTTAGCTAAAAAGTCAGCACGCCGTCGTCCTGCACCAATCTGTAACCGGGATAAATGGTGACTTAAAGGATTATGTACCAAGAGCCTGACTGAGTGGCTGATAGTTACTGAAACTGTGTGATGCCCTTGACCATACAATGGCCGAATACTCTGAATGACACTGGCAGGCGGGGTGACTGACTGAGTCAGGTGCCTGGAACTCTGGTGCAAACTAATACATGAGACCCAAGAACACGCGATGCATAATTCAATAATTCAGCTTGAAATACCTTTATTACGGATAGACTGTGTTCAGTGTTAAGTCCTGAGTCCAATCTGATACATCAAAATTATAAACAAATATAGTTTATACAAAATTAAATTGACATGAATGAACATAACATAACATAGCTATTAAGTTGAGTGATATTGTTCACTGACAAAGATTAAATTCTGTTTAGAACTTGGAAGAATAAATGTGATATGGCAATCCGATTATGATAAATAAGAACATACGGTTATGAACAAGTTTTAAAAATTGTCACTAAATAGAAACAGATTAAAACATGTCACTCACTGACCAAACTGAGAATTGCAAATTTAATTTAACACATTTACACATGTTGATAAAAGTTTTGGATAAGTAATGTATATAGAAACCAAAATATAAAATAAGTTATTAATCACAATGAATTTAAAACTCCAAAATGTCAAAATTGTGAATTTTAAGTAAAAGTCAAAATAATTTCAGAAGCAACTTTATGCTTGGTCACATAATCATAGCATAAACATTACAAATAAGACGGTTTAATTAAGCTCGGAAAACAAGTGAATGGTCACTATTACAAATTTCGCTCCTGTGTGATAAACTAATTGATGGATGACGTCAATAAAACATCACTTGCGTTTCCTATCATGATTTCCTTGATAGTGGGTTGCTGCTCACAAGGAAGCTATTAAACCAAGTGGTGAAGTTGAAAGTTTTACGGACGCCAATACGAGTTGGCTGACCGTTACAAAATGTCTGTTTCACAAATTACGACGGATATGTTCCTATCGTCGTTACCTAAATCCCTCCCTCCTTTTCCCCTAATGTGACCTACCGAATTAGACTTATAACAAGGTTTGTACTCGAGCAACACGCCGGAGCCACATGTGGAGCAGGATATGCTTACCTTTCCGGAGCACATGAGATCACCCTGGTTTTTGGTAGGGTTCGTGTTGCTCAGTCGTTAGTTTTCTATGTTGTGTTTTGTATACTGTTGTTTGTCTTTTTGGTCTTTTTCTTTTTTTGCCCTGGCGTTGTCAGTTTGTTTTCGACTTATGAGTTTGAATGTCCCTTTGGTATATTTCGCCTCTCTTTTATCGAGCCAAGAAATACTTTTTCATCAAATTAATTTCAGTACTACAATACTACGGTACTGTTCAGGTGCAAAAATACATATGACAATTTGTTTATGTATATGTAACTCAATATATTTATATGAAAAGATTTGTGAATTTCATACAGATCTCTTCTTTCTAGAATAATGTCTTGAATGATAAGAAAGTTATTTGTATTTTCAATGTCAGATATCAAATGGTTACCATACAGCAAGTAATGAATAGGAGACTGATATTACACGCTAGTCAGCATCACTCTCTAAGCAGATGAGTTTACGGACAGTGAGATAAAAAAAAAATGTTCTGGTGTTTCAATCTGCCTACAATTACAGAAAGATGAAGCACTAAATTTTTACTATACAGGTGATCATTCAGACCACTGCACTCAGTTTTGATTCTAGTATGCATAATATCTCCCAGTCTACTTCCATTTTTAAAAAAAATTCTGGACTACATGAGTTTTCTTTAAACATGTCTTAAAAGTATATAAAGACGAATTTCTAATATGACTCGACAGCTCGTTCTAAAGATGTAGAGTAGGAGGAAGAAAACTGTTATGATAATTATTTGTTCGTGCATGTATTATACGGTAAGTTTTCTGACGTTGAACCTTGAGGTTGTTTAAGAAGATTACATCTTTTGAACTGCAATTAGGTATTAATTCCTTAAGATGTAGACAATTTGGATTGGTTTTGATGTTGCATTGCCTAAAGTCAATGTCACTTATAACAGTTATGAAATAGATTTATCTGAAGAGAAATGTTTGATTTCCTTATGATGTTTTTTTGTTTTTGAATCATAAATTCGATCATTACTAGTCTTTGCAAATCAGAGAAATCTTTTATCTCTTTTATTGTGCACGATGCAGGTAATAAAGGCTATAAATTGACATAACGTGAGGAAATTAAGATTTTTATGTAATATTGTTTATTCAAACGTCACTGATGAGTCTTTTGTAGACGAAATGCGCGTCTGGCGATAAATTTTTTAGCCTGGTATGGTTGATGACCTTTTTTACATTATGTTTGAAGTTCTCATCAAGCAAAGGTATTAAAAAAAGACTTATGATGTGATTTCTATGCCCTCATCATCGGTTTCTAGAATAACCTTTATCAGGTAGACCGAGAAAAAATATTTGGCAAACCGAAATATGAAATGCTTGTTAGCATACAAATCAACAGTACCCAACTAGAGCCGCCGAAACCATCTAATGTTACTTTTGACTGATTATAAAATGCCCTTTAGAATGAAAAGACCTTTAAAATCCGATGAAAAAGCCAAAGTAGACATAAGTAGGCCAGAACACCTTTTTATTTGATACCACTTTGTACAGTTCCGAACTTTTAAAACCTTTTTACTTACTTTTATGATATTGAACATTACATATCTCAGCATTTTACTTATGTATGATTTTTTACTTTAAAATTTCTTTTTTTTTGTAAATATTTATTTATCCTTTGACTCCACAAAGAATTCTACATCTATCAGTTCTGTCTTGTTGGATTTTGTTCCTGTGTAAATGACCTTCAAAGAATGATTTGTGTACCATTTAGTTAACATGAAGTATTTTATACTGGACGATAATTAAAATTCCTTTTTACCAATGACTTGAAATTAACCTAGTATTTTTCTTAATAAATACATATGTGATTTTATTGACCATAAAATACATTAAAAGCCTATTTCTCCTTTATTGATAAATCTTTTCCCAAATTGAACTTAGACTAACTCAGTACACACAACAGATTTATGTTCACAATATTTTAATCTTTTCGTACTTTTAGCTTGTTTGTCTTCATCTTCGCTAGCCAAGGGCTACAATCCACTTCCCTCCTCTCCACCCTTGGCAGATTTAGCCAACATTTGTGATAACAATGTTGCGCCATCTATCGGTAGATAAAAGTCACGCCCATTCCGAATACAGTATTCTTGACCAAGGGTAGCACTTGAACTCTTCAATTTGGAGGTAAAATAGCGTCTAGATTCTACACACTTGGTAAAGCAGGAAGCGAAAATATATGTTGACATTCATGCATTTGTGCAAGAAACATACATATGAACTTCTATTAGTTGATTAAAAACATTCAAATTGTCACTAAGTATGTTTAGGGATGTAAAGACTTGTTGCACAATAAGCACGTGGCAATTGTTCACATACACTTTCTACATTTACACGTGATCATGTTATAGGCGCTTTTTGATTGGATGCAGCGAGTTTCGACTGCAACCAATGAAAATCATTACCTTGTGTCTCCGAAATTCTATCTCAATCCGCCAAGGGTGGAGAGGAGGGAAGTGGATCGTAACCCTTGGCTAGCGAAGATGGTTTGTCTTTTAAAACACTACCTAAACATGCAGCTGTCATACTAAAACTGGATTTGCTGTATGCTTATAAACAAAATCTCGAGGTGAGATTTATACATATACACCATCGAGAGCATAGACCATAAAACATTTTTCTTCTTTTTCAGATACTTTAACAAAGATGTCAAATAACGAAACGAACACGTCAGCGCTATTACTGTCTCCTTTGATTCTGACATCACTCGGTATATACCTAACAATTGCAATAGTAATTGGTACTCTCGCAAATGGATCCGCTCTTTATGTCTTCCTCACCAACAAACAGCTTCGTTCGCCTACCAATATGTTTATCATAAGCTTGATAACATGCGACTTCCTCATGTGTACAGTAGGAGCACCATTACCTGCTGCCTCAAATTTTGCACACAGATGGTTGTGGGGATGGTCGGGATGTGTCTTCCATGGATTTACTGTATATGTATTAGGCTTGAGTAATTTGTATATATTAGCTGCCATTTCTGTGGACCGATACATTATTATAGCAAAGCCTCTTCAAGCTTCCAAAATAAACCACAGAGTTGTTGGTATTTCAATATTTTCATGTTACTTTTTTGGATTCTTCTGGAGCTTTATGCCTCTTGTTGGATGGAGTGAATATGCATTTGAAGGCGCTGGAACAGCCTGTGGTATATCATATGACTATAATAATGCTTCAGCGTTTAGTTACAATATAGCTATATTCATAAACTGTTACTGGATACCAATCTTCATTATGATTTATAGTTATTATTATGTCTTCATGACGGTGAGTGACTTCGTGAGTAGTTTCATGTTGTTCATATCATGTAGCATTTTTTTTATTTCCTTATTTTAAAGGCCATGTAGAATAACATAAGAAAACTCATGGTCATATTATATAGTCCGTTTACATGTATGTTGGCGTTTGCTTTTGTTGTAGTTCAGTGTTTCTGTTGTTCCGTTGTTTTCCTCTTATAGTTGACGTGTTTACCTCGGTTTTAGTTTGTTACCCGGATTTGTTTTTGCTTAATCGAATTATGACTATTGAACAGCGATATACTGCTGTTGCCTTTATTCAATTATATTATATCCCACTTGTTTTGACTGTCATTTCATGTATTTTTAAAATTTTCATATTTTCATGTTCATATCATATAGTTTACTATTACATCTCAATCGCTTTGCATGGCATTTTCTATGTTAACATTTTCATGTTCATATCGAATAGTTTACTATTATTTGCACTTGTTTTGCTGGTCATTTTGTATGTTTGTGAGTAGTTTCATGTCTTTTATATCGTGTAGTATACTTTTATATCTCGCTTTGTTTAGATCATGTAAGATATTGTAAACATTTGCAGGTTCATATATTACAGTTTTCTATTATATTCCACAATTCCGAAGATCATGTTAAATATGATAACCCACCGTTTTTGTTACGTGTAGTATCCTATTATTTCCCTTTTGTTTGAAGGTTGTAAGATACTGAAAGTACTTACAGAACTTCATTTTTGATTGATAGATGATTGCTCCACGCAAACCAGCGCAAAAAGACTACACCGCTTCTTCAGTTTTTGAGCGAAATTCATATATCAAATTTAAAGGAAATCACACATGTAGGATCGGTAGCAATTAATAATATTCCCTGAATGGTACTTATTTTGATGGATTGTTTATCATTTGGATATCGTTTGGCCAATAGTCATTTTTTCGCTGTGGGGCATGAGTAAATTTTTGTAAATTTTCATTTAAGATTTTATACTTGCATATTAAAATGAGAATGCCAACCCACTGACAAAGTTAACCATGTTTTTTCTTTGTTCTGGTTAAGTGTTTTTTGGTGTTCAGTCATTAGCATTTTGGTTTGACAAACATTTTGGTTTCAGGTGCGTCCCGATAAAGATTACCAGTAATCAATAAATCCATGTCATGTAAATGTAATTTCAATCGTTTGAAGGAACTGAATTAGATTGAAATTTATTTTTTCTAGTTGTCTGTCCCGCGCTTTATGAGTTATAACCATTCAGCACGACAGGCAGACTCGAATAGATGTGTATCATAGAAGAAATTGTATCTTGCTCGTGTGAATTAATGTATTGCTATATTTAATGTATTTTCATTTCAGTAGAATTTATAAATTACTGACTATATTTTGTCGACATTATATTATGTATCATAATGTAACTGTAATTTAACTCAGCACATGGCACTGTCGTATAGGTATTCAATTAAAAACTTTATTTGGTATAAATAGCATTTACGAGGCTTCGTTAGGTGTGTTGTTTATCGACGTTGTTGATTGTAGAATAAGCCTTCTACGTCATTTGCTCTCTGGTGGAGAGTTGTCTTATTGGTTATCATACTACATCTTCTTATCTTTATACCAAGAATCTGTAAGAAAACCGTTTATTTTTGAGTGACGGGTCATAAGCATATTATACATCTTATGTTTGACTGTACATATGATGTTAAGTCCAACATTTAATAGATTTTATTGAAAAGTGGTATACTCCTGTTGCCCTTATTTATGTCAGTCTGGATAAAGATTGGATAAGTTTCTTGAAGTTGTCAGTATAACATTAAGCTGAACATTCATAAACATCTTTTAAAGAATTTCCTAAGAAATAATCTGTTTATTTGCATCGTGTCTTTCTTTGTTGCTTTCACATTTGTGCAATGTATTTTATAAAAATGTGCAGGTTTTATTTAAGTTTTTATTGCCTTCTCAAGTTTTTGTGCCCTGAAAGATTTACAAACTATCCGTTATCATTATTGATACTGAAAATCTAAGTAAGAGATGTGAACTTAAACAAATGTACTGCTGCATGATGTAAGCTAATCAGGAAATATAAATACATGTAATTTAGTCATATAAGCAGTAGGTATTAGTATCAATACGAGGTAAATATGAACCTTTTACAGTCATTAGAAGGAAATGCTATGTGCTAAACGTTATAACCTGTCATTTAATTGGTCAATATCTCCATCAATGTGATTAATCATTTGAATCAATAACCTGCGAATTGATAGATGTATTAAAACACAGCTTTGTGGATAACGACTCAGCGTTTCTTGTTATCCCCAAGAGAAAAAACCCAACAAATACCCAGATTATTAGTAATGTAAGTCTTGTCTTTCAATCTTTTATTTTCTCTTTTGTGTATTGTAATTTGACCCATAATCTTTTTGGAAATTTTTGATATTGATATTGTCTGTCTAAAATTTTATGACTAATGGTTTCTCCTTGTCTATTATTATTAACCTCAAACTGTTATTATATCCTCTCTGTCCCTCTCCTACTATTAGAGTATGTTTTATTTTCTGGCTGGCTGGGTTTATGGACAAGAGTATTCAAAAGTAATCGCGAACGGTGAACACATTAAAATATTTTTATATAGAGCCTCTAGACAATAACTTTTAGCCAACTGACTTCATACGGTTACATGCCGATTGAAATATATTTGACACTCCAGTCACCTTATAATATTGTTATAGACATTTATATAGATTGCATGGTTTACATAATAGGAAAACTCTCTTCTTTAAATCTGCGTAAGGAGTTAATCGTTTGCTTGTTTAATGGGAAAAAAGGGAATATCGAGTCAACTCCAAATTTTCTATTTGAATGTGATAGTTGTACCGATTTAAGGAATGCTACACTTTTTTCAATCAATTTATCTGTTTCAGATCTAGAAAATGCTAAATCATTTCATTTTTAGTGATAATTGAAACGCACATTTTTTTCTACAAAAAAGCCTCTAAGAAATGCTCAAATATATTCTCAAATAATTGCTTTACTGTATAAAACGCAATTCAACCAAATGTTAATTTTAATGTTTTTCAAAGAAAAACTAATTAAAGAAAACTATGAATTCGATTTTGTGTAATTTGTGTGTATATGGTATCTACGGAAGCTGGTTTGTGTCATTGTATGTATCTATAAAATGTTTTTTGATTAAGTTGAATTCCTAGGTTCTATTTGTTTTAGATTCGGTCCATGGCGAGAAATACTGCATTTGACAGAAAAAGCAGAATAGCTAAAAGGAACTTAAGAATTGAAAAGAAAATGGCAAAAACTATAGCTTTAATGATTGGTAAGTTGACATTTAATCAAAGCAGGTTTCAACTGATATGTCCGTCATGAAATTGGAAGATCATGATTATGCAAAAGATATTTTGGAACAAATATTCTCTTATGGTTGCACGACAATATATACAATTAATGGGATGTAGATAACAGACCAACCACAAGAGGAAAGATGTAAGCAAATGTAATGGAAACAAGTACGATGGATATCATTCCAAAGTAAAGATTTTTTTTATGCTTAATAGAAAAATCATAAAAAAGAAAAGGAAGAATAGAAGCATAGGTAAAGATAGACGTATTTGAAGGTTGTAATAAATATGAAAATAAAAAAAGAAGTAAAAATGAAGAAAGAAAGAAAACAGAACAAAACTAAACAATAACTTCATACTAAAACAGTTACTAATACTAATACTAATGAGATAAGCTTATTTTATGTGCAATGCCTGTTCAATCAAAATGTCATTTGATACGAACATAATACAAATAATAAATCTATAAAAAAATTTCAAAAATGAATAGGGAAATTGTCTATATACGAAATATAAACGGTAGTGTAAATACTCATAAAAATACAACCATGCTCACGTGACCATGCTTATCATATTGTACGCCAGACGCGCGTGTCGTCTTCCTGTAAACCTTCAGGAAAAAATACCAGGGTTTTGTAATCTGTTCGAAGTTAATTTGATCTTTCCATTTAATTTACTAGTACTAGCAATGAAATCATTTCAATTGGAAAGTCAAATAGCACCTGCACATTCCAATTTATTCAACCACATATTTAATGCTGCTTACAATGAGTCGAAATCTACAAAGAGATGACAATGAAACAGTTCACAATATGAACATCGAAACTGTTTCAGTAGAAACATTTACAAGTTTATGTAACTATCGAACATCGAAGTTAATTCATTGTAGGAAATGACGTCGTCGCAAAAATGTTTTATTTGTATTTTAGAACTAATGTTCCAACTCCCTCAGGTTAAGTTGACCTTAGATCTGTTTGACCTTTTTTATCTTCGTTTTGGTCCTCAATTATCTTTACATCCCTGGATTTCTAAGCTATGCGCTAAGGGATTCCTGACGAAGATTAGAAAAGTGCCTCGGACGCATCAAATATATAAAGCAGTATTTCCATTCATGCATGGTAATATGCTCAATGTTCTTCAAATTCGTATTTGATTTGGCCTTCTCGGTGCTTTGATTCGAACGCTACTGATGGGTTTTATGTAGACGAAACGCACCTCATGAGTACCAAACATAAACATGGTATATTTTGTTGAGTTTTTATGTATTTAATACTTTCAATAGAACAAAGATATACCATTATGGTTTTAAATGGAACCAACCTTGAAATTAGTTAATTGAAATTAATTGACTTCTATTTTAGGTGTGTTTATGTTTGCATGGACGCCGTATGCAGTCACTGCATTCTGGGTTGCATTTGGTTTTGGTGAATTACCTGTTATTGTTTCAACCTCGGCCGCCATGTTTGCAAAATCAGCATCTGTATGGAATCCTCTAATTTACGTCTATACAAACAAACAATTTCGCAAAGCATTTTATGAGAAAATTCCCTGTTCTGGTTTTCGTTCAAAACTTATTAAGAAGGAAGAGGAGAAAGAAATGGAATCAGAAGAATCTGATATAGATGATAAATCAAAGACAACAGGACAAAAAGTTACACATCTTAAGGTTCAAAATAAGCGACGTGGCGTGACGCCCATTAACGATGACGATGACGCAGGTGAAATAACTATTTGTGAAGACATTGTAGCTGATGCAATTACACTTGATGACGACGGTAAGAAAGAAGAAATTGAAATAAAAGATTTATGTGGATCACATCAAGCTTAGAGGTATAATTTACTTGTGTTGAAAGCAAATATTTTTTTAACATTTTTCATAAACAAAGATAAGGTAAAAAAAACAACTTCTGAAATCTTATTTCAAGCTGTTGTGCTTAGATGTCGATCTTATAAAAAAAAGAAATCAATGATATATTTTAACTTGATAAATCAAATGTTTTCGATTTTTTATGAACTAGTTAATAACAAAGGAGAAGCTTAAGTTGGGAAAGACAACTTTTTGGCCCTTTTGATTCGATTATGGATTATAGCTTAGCAAAAACAATTGTCAGCCCTTCAAAATATTCTCTGTCAGATGTCCATATGGCACTGATTACTATTAGTATTTGCGATACCAATAATAATTTATTTGTGTCTAGAAATACTTCTCTATGCTTTCAAACATCTAAAATTTTAGAAAAAAAGACATACTATTGAAAAACTGCTCCGTTCTTGGAACTTTCCGTTAATATCTAGATACAGCCGAAAGCCTTATCCCAAAAATGTTTTGCATAAAGATCTATTCAAATAGAATGTTGATACAAGTCAGTTGTGTTTTTTTGGTAAAGTGATGCTAAAATTATTTTTAATGTAAACTTTTGACCTTTTTTAAATGTATTAAGGTAGTAGACATCGTTTGCTCACACATCCTTCTTAACAAATACATGAACCACAATAAAACTTGCAAATAAAACTTTCAGAAAGTTTTAAATACTAAGAGGCATTATGCTCCTTTTATTCATGTTTAAATTCACATATGTTGGGGTTCACTATTGCAAAATATACTATGTTAGTTCTTCTTTTGCGGCTAGCAAGGAACTCAGACAATGGAAATAAATATTTTATAGTAGTATTGTACACTTACCTCATCCTTTAAATTTGGATCAGAAATGATTTTTTGGAATTGTGTATAAAACGCGTTGTTCATTTCATCATCTTATTTACCGGATCAAGAAGGGGTTGGTATGGAGTTCGGGGTAGAGAAAATCTTCAAAACCAATATGAAAAAAAAATATTTAAAATGAGTCTTTTTCGGTCAAACCCAAACATGAATATGTTAAAAGATGGATATGAAAAATATAAAGATTTGATATCTGAAAAATATATAGATCTGATATCTGGCTAAAAAAATATAGTCTATTTTTAAATCCAAGTTTTGCACTTTTAAAAGACCGCAAATGTCAGGAAGGCATGATGAAAACGTCTTCAGAATAAAAGAAATGAAGTCGAGTGTATGCCTAATATAAGATAATTTACACATCAAAAGAAGGTGATCAATTATAGACTGAAAACCTGTACTTATCAATGTATGCTTGTCTATTGTTTATCATATTAAACATTACAGTTGTATCGACGACGGCTTGTAAAGGCTCGAACATAATTGTAATAGTGTGCCTCATATTTTGAAATAAACTGTGTCAATTAGTTGTTTTTGAAGACTTTATTTCCTATCGTCATCCATTATGCCATTTCAATCATATCCAGTATCAGTAGCTATGAACGTGGCAGCTTGTAATAATATGAGGTAGATGAAGGTGGACATACGAGATATATGACGGATTTAGGTATTGTTTGAATTAGCAACACAAAACACGACAATGTATTAAACAGGTTTGAATTTACAAAGGTTATCAAATAAACAACAAATGACCAACGAAGACTGCTAATTAATGTTCGCGATCACTCATTATGACATGCAATCAGCCCACAACCCATAATTCATTTCAAACGCCCTACATAATAGTAAATTTAGAATATTCAATCATTCACAAACATGATCATACTACTGCTGTTGGTGGACTTTAAATCAGATTTACAGCGTTTTCTCAGCTGTTGAAGAAATACTTAAAAAGATATTGCTACAATTTCCCTAGGGTAAGAGAGACGAAAGATACCAAAGGGATATTCAAACTCATAAATCGAAAACGAACTGAAAATGCTATGGCAAAAAGAACCTGACGAAAAGACAAACAACAGTACATAAAACACAATATAGAAAACTATAGACTGAGCAACACGAACCCCACTAAAAACCAGGGATAATCTCAGGTGCTCCCGTTGTGTTGCTCATGTAAGTACAACCCCAGTTGTAAGTCTGAATCGGAAGGTCGCATTCGAGGAGAAGTAGATGGTATTCTGGTTACGATAATTCGAACACATCCATCGTCATCTGCGACACAGATATTCCATAACGGTCAACAAACTCGTGATATCCTTCATTTAATTTTCGAAGGGATGATTTCAACTTTACCATTTGGAACTCTTCAATTGCTTCCTTAAAAGCAGCAACCATCTATCAAGGAAACAGTGATAGGAAATGCAAGCTCTGGAATATCGTATCAACACATTACTGGAAGATATATAATCCAGATGCAGGCGCTGCGGGAATGTTGCTCTATAGAAATGGAAAGTTCACATTTGAAAGCTGAAATTATCTCTTTTGTCATAAAGTTTTGTTCTCAATCGACCCTCATAAGTCAAGATATGAGGCAGACTTAACTGTATCTGTTGTATCCCTCATTTTAAGTTCAATGGGATAGATCTGTTCACCATAGTCGCCAACCTTTGAATTATTTAGTGAGAGGACATCATCCATATACCAGAAAGTGAAGTTAAAGGATAAGACCAGCTTCTTTTCATTCTTCTTAAAAAGCTCCTGTATGAAGTCTGCAACATGTGAATTAAGGAACAAGACGACAAGAAGAGGAGCACAGTTGAATCCCAAGGGAATGTCGATTGTTTGTTAAAAACACGTCCTCCAGACGTAACAAACATGTTGTCAATGAAGAAATCAAGCATCTTGATAAAGCCAGATCCAGAGAATTTTGTTTGAATCAGTGTGATTTTTTACAAAGTACGATACATTCCTCCCTAATACAAGATACTTGTAGTATCTACGTATTACTAAGCTATTCGTTTTCATGAAACAAAGTTGGAACAATTCTTTCAATAGTCTTTCAGTCTGAAATGGGAATACTTGTTTATATTAAAGGTTAGAAATGATTTAATACTATTGCAAGATGAAAGAGACTTCAATTGTATGTACCCTACCATATTTTTGGAATTTTTGAGTATCCACATCTGATTCACACCACCCTTAGAGTAGATAGTTACATAATAACTTTGAAGCACGGCTTTGATTGCTGATAAAATTGATTTTGATAAATTAGAAAGAGGTTCCGTGGGGCACTTGGAAGACCCAGGAATAAAACATTTTTTTGTAAGGACTCTTATGTTATTTAGGTACCCAATTCAGTGAAGGAAGATCCAGTTCATATTTGGTTGAAATTCCAAAGGAACATAGATCAGACCTATGATTATTCAGGATATCCTCCTTCGTAAGTGTCGTGGGAATATATGTTGAGTTTCCAAGTGAATTGTCAATACCTAATTCCTTTATCAAGCAGTTTATATAATGTGATTTACACACAAAACCGATGTTATTTTTGAGCTTTATTTGCGAGGACAACAACACATTAGTCATGGAGAAAGGACAGGTGCCTAGCAACTTTTATGTTTTTAAAGATCGATGTAGCATAACTAGGCTAAATACAAAACGTAAACGAAGATAAATATGAAGACCTGCCGTAAATATCCACATTCACACACATATTCAAACATGCGTTTAAAAAAACTTGATACCCACCAAACATCAGAAACATTTGATCCTGTGATATAAATTAAACACATCAAAAAATCAAATTACTTAAATCAAATTCTTCCGTGTACTAATTTAAATGGTGTAAAGTAAAGCCCATCGAATCAACAAAGTTAAAGAAAGTACGAATGTTAGAAAATACAAACTAAGGCGAAATCATAATTATGAATCAAAGGAAATACAACACTGTCATCAAATGAAATTAAAGAAAAAGCATAAGCAGTGCACAAATATATATACCCGCACACAGAAACCTTAAGATCGACCAACACGAACCATACTAAAAACCTACTGGTGAATTCCGGTGGTTAGCAGTTTCTGTTTCACTAGAGGCAACAAAGTGTTGTCATGACAAGGAATAATCAAGTGGTGAGTCATATTTCGTGTAGCAATAAGCTAAAAGAGAAAACAGAACGGTATTATGGCTACAACCAATTGGACATATCCGTGGTCATCTGTCACAGAATTTTTCGTAAGTATCAACCAACACATGATGGCCTCGCAGAGAAGACATCAAACTCTGCTATTATGAACTTTTGGTTCAGCATCAGCAGCATTCTTATAACCAGCAATGGGAAACATCTGATTGGTGTCGGCTTGGGAGTTAGCAAACGATATTCTGCTTTGAGGACAAAATTTCATACAAAAGTATGCTTTGAACCATACCTTTTGAAATACAGGCAGTGTTATATGGGAAATATGTTAAATGAAGATATGTAGCATAAAGATTCCTATTGAAGCTGGGAGATCGCAAAATAAAATGTGTAATAAGATAAGTCCGATTTATATAACTGGTCTGGGGTATGCGAATGTTTAACAAATATAGTAGCAGAAGTTTACACATGCGTATTATATCAAATTATCAACACGAAAAAAAGATCTATTGTAAATGTGTTGTTTTACTCGTCAGGTAGAAAAGATGTTAGTTCAAGTTAAAAATTGTTACATCAAATATATTATGCATGCTACATAAAATTATAATATGTTATAATTAACTGTCTATATAATGTATTGTGTGTAATTTATGATTTTGTTAATTTTGGTCAAGTATGCAGTCTTCTGAAGCTGTGTTTTCAATTTACTAATTAGCGATGAAACACCATAGAATACCAAAAATTTCAATGTCAATTTACTCTGATTGAATATGTTATATAAACGATACACATTTGTTTAACCTATGACTGACCGACACAGTTCTCACTAGAAACTAGCACGTTTAATACCCCCACCTGTATGAAAGCCACACCAGTTTAAAATAACAAGGGACTTTTTTTTTTACAAATTCCCGTTACCATGCATTTATTTATCATGTTACTATGTATCTATACATCCCCCATCTTTAAGAGTACAAAACCCCGTATTTGTGCCTTTCTAGGACATCTAATAAGTGGAACAAAATCTTACATAACCTTTTTGTCTAAAAACGTGTATCATACCTCCATTGACAGACGAAAAATTGCGCTTTACAATCGCCAAAAACTGAGAAGACATTAAATAAAACCAGTAAAAAAAAGACAGCGCGATTTTGTACCAAGTCGGGAATATGACAGTTGTTCTCCATTCGTTTGATGTGTTTCAGCTTTTGATTTTGCCATTTTATAAGGTACTTTCCGTCTTGAATTTTCCTTGGAGTTTGGTCATTTTGCTATTTTTACTTTTTGTATTACGTTTGCACTAATTTACCTGTTATTTAACCGATTTTGTATAACTTTTGCACTAATTCACCTGTTATATAACCGATTTTGTATAACGTTTGCACTAATATACATGTTATGTAACCGATTTTGTGCTATATCTGTTTTAATGCTGAAAATAATCTGAACTTTACAAACGTTTTAGTAGAAATTAAAGATATTGATAAATATGTAACAAGAGAAGGTATAGTTCGTTTATATAAAGAAAAAAATCAATACATTAATGAAAACACAAAGTCTTGAATAAATTCCTGTAAAAAACCATTCTAAGTACAGTAATACGTTCTCGATAGGATTAATCTGTAAGTCGGACCTTGCTGGTTACTTGATATAAACAACATTAAAACGTCTTATATCGTGAATTTTTTATTTTCATTTCTATTTGTTGTTGGATGATGCTTTATCTGGTGCCTATCCATCTTTGTTTCTCGTTATTAAAAACAAGTTAAATAAAACGGC